CCCCCTCACAGAGCGATCCTTCCCAGAACCCGGCGATTTATATCCCTGTACACGTCTGGCGTCAGGCATGCAACTATCTTTTAACATTTATTTTTTTTAAGCACTCGCACCCGCGCACTTGCTGTCTCTCTCACACAAAATTCCTCTCTCCCTCTTTTCACATCCTCTTTGCCAGTTTCAACACACATGCTCTATGTGTGTCTGTGTGTGAGAGAGAGAGCATGCATGTGCATTGATTATGCTTTCATTTCACAACATACAGACACACATATTTGTAGTGTCCCATCCCACTGGTTTCTCCGTACATACACAAATCAGCCTTGCATGTAAACACACATGCACTGATATAGGTTCATCACCCTCCCCTGCTCATTTCTCTCTCTCTCTCTCTCTCTCTCTCACACACACACACACGCTCACACCTGCCCTGCTTCAAGCACACAGCCTGTTTCTCTTGCACTATCAATTTTCCCTAGTGGCTCCCACGCACACGCTTGCACTGCCCCAGACGCTGTTAAAGGTTCACAATTTCCGACACTTCCTCTCTCACACTCACACACTTATGCTGCCCCCCCGGCGCTCCTTTTCCGCCTGCCTCTTTCTCACCCCCCAACCCCATCCCTGCTCCAAGCCCCCAACTTTGCTGACTCAGCCTATGTCAGCCTTGCGCTGCTGCTGCCTCTCCCGCGCGCTCCCTCGCCACCCTGTTTCCACAAGGCACCCCCTTGGCATGTGGCTCCTCTTTCCCGGAAAAAAAGAGGGGGGCGCAAGCATTGCATACGTACCTGGAAGCCGGCAGCCCCACGAAAAGCGACAGGACTTGCTCCCTAGTAAACAACATGCTTCGCAACGGCGGCGCCCCGCTCACACACACTTCCCCGCGGCCTCGCCCGCTGCCCAGCCTCTCGCTCTCCTCCTTTTTCCGCCTGCGCTGCTTTGCAAAAGCAGGAGAAGCCACTCCAGCAGCACAAACCATCCCTGCTTCTGCTTACACACACACAGGCACAGCTTCCAGACAATGCACTGGAGAGCAACCTCCCCTCCCCACACACCCCAGGCCTCCCTTTCCCTGCCAAGTGCTAGGGTGCAAGGATGCAAGGTGCCAGGGTGGGGTTGGGGGGTTCAGCGTGCAGCCCTGGGACCCGCCCGAGCATCCCTGCAGTTACTCACTCTCGCTCTCTGCAGCAGCAGCAACAGCAGCTCCTCCTCCTCCCTTCCCGATGCTGAGGCTGCCGGCTTGCCCCGGGCAGGTGAAGCCTCCCCGCTCCACCCCACCCCACCGCCAGCCTGCCCCACCTTCACTCACGGCTCGCCCACTCACTCACCCACCCACCCACCTCCTCCGTGCCCAGGCGGTGCCACTCCGCCACCAGACAGATGGAGCCCCAGCGTAGCCCGGGGAGACGCAGGCGAGGTGCCGTGGGTGGGTGTTAACCCTTTGGGGGTGGGGTGGGAAATGGAGCCGGGAGGGAGGGGGTGGTTTTGGGGCAGAGGTTTTCAGGAGGCGAGAGCTGGCTTGCCTTGCCTGGGGAAGCCAAGGTGTTCATTGCTAAAGATTTATCACCAAGGTAAACACACACGTATTCGCAAAGCATTGTGAGTAATTGAAAGTGGCAAATTCCAACACCCCCACCTCAAAACCATTTAGGGAATCAAATAGTTTGCTTTTTGGAGAAAAGGTGGGAAAATCTTAATGGGGGGAAACACACACTTTTTTATCAGCCCTCTTGGGATGCAGGGTGTCTCGACAGACGTGCCACGCTTTTTCTATCAGGTTTTTATTTTTAATTGTATTGTTTTACCACTTGGGTGGTTGCTGCTCTGGGCTACTTTGGGAGGAAAGGCAGGATAGAAAATAAAATAAATGGGTGGCTTTTTTGCGGGGGGGGGGGGAAGGAGAAAAAGAGGTGCAGGCACTCTTATCTTGACAAAAGTGCCAGCAAAGATTTAAAAAAGTGACACCACAAGAAAGTAATTAATAATAATAGTAATATAATGATGTCTGCTAGCTTCCTTTTTATTTTGCACTGTCCAGATTTCTCCCATAGCGTTACATTTATTCTCGGTTTGCTGAATTGCTGCCTTTCGGAATTCACTGCTAGTTTTTTAACTTGATTTCTCTGCACCACCTGAGGGTATTTTGATATTTGTCATAAGCTGCTTTGGGCACCATGGTGTGGAGGTGGTATATAAATGAGCTTAGTGACTCAATCCATCACTGGTAAAAGCAACCCTGTGTGTACATAGGGTGCGAAGGAGCATCCTTTGTGGAGATAGGCAAAGGGTGCTTGATGATGGTATAGCTATTAATCTTTTGGGTGACTAAATGTGATGAATCTTTCTGAGTCTGCATCTGTAGTGGAGTCATTTTTAGATTTTTAAAAAATTATTTATGTGCCTGCCCCCCCCCCCCGGTCTCCTTTGGGAAGAAGGGCAGGATATTATTTAAATATTATTTTAATTACTATTACTACACTTTCCTACCCTAAAACTAAGTAGAAAAAAGAGGGGGTCACATCTACACCACACATTTAAAGCACATTTAAAACAACACTGCTTCCCCAAAGGGCTCTGGGAAGTGTAATCATCCACTCACATAGCTACAATTTCCAGCACCCTTCACAAACAACAGTTCCCAAGTGAAGTTACAGGGAACCAGGCAGAGGGCCTTCCCGTTAGTGCGCCCTCCCCATGGAACACCCTCCCATCAGATGTCAAGGAGATAAACAACCATACAATTTTTTCTTTAGACATATGAATGCAGCCCTGTAATCCAGTGGTTTTTAATGTCTGATGTTTTATTGCGTTGTTTACATTTTGCTGGAAGCCGCCCAGAGTGGCTGGAGCAACCCAGTCAGATGGGTGGCATATAAATAATAAAAAATTTATTATTACCACTACCCTGCTAAATGCAACGTCAGAGTGGTTCAAGAAGACTGAAATCTCTCCCCCCTCCCCGCCACCGCCATTTCATATTGAGGAATCTAAGACAGAGTGGGGTGTGTGGTTTATTTTATTATTGGTTAACTGATTGGATACTGCCTTTCTGCCAAGGCACCCGAGGTGGTTCACACTTTAGACACCAAAAGAAACACACAATATGGAAAGAAGACAGACTGGCAGAGTCCACTCATGTCAGCGGGCTGCTGGTGGTCTGTGTGCTCCCTGGCTTGGGCTCCCCTTGCTTCTTTCTGACCTCAAGGCCTGCAAGTCTCCAGCACCCCCAGTGAAGGTAGAAGAGCAGCAGGAGGAACCATCATCACTCAACAGTAGAGCCCCTGCTTTGCTTGCAGAAGGTCCCAGGTTTGATTCTTGGCATTGCCTGATGAATCAGGGGAGGCTTTTGAAGGCCAAGTTATCTACTGGGGCAACCTTGGGCGGTGGGATACCGGTGGTGGGCAGAGCAACAGAGCAGCCAGCATTCTCTGTGGCAGCACCTTCACGTAGAGCTTCCATCATATGCTGAAGATACACCTCTTTACCCTGGCCATTAATTTCAGCAAGTCTACTCCTGAGTTGGGCTAGCTCTGGATACAACCCCATGTTTTGGATCCGCCCTTTTCCCTGCCACCGCAAATTATTTTAACTACCGTATTTTTCGCCCCATAGGGCGCACCGGCCCATAGGGCGCATCTAGTTTTTTGGGGGGGAAATAAAGAAAACAAAATTTATTCCCCCCCCAGGTGCGGGACTGGGGCGGGGGAAGCCCGAGCTTCCCCCGACCCCAGCTCCCAGAACAGGCTGCTATCCGCAAGCCGTGGGAGAGCTGTGCGACTTCGCGCAGCTCTCCCACGGCTAGCGGAGAGTTGCGCGAAGCCCGAAGCCTGGGGCGTGCTGAGCTCAGCGCGTCCCAGGCTTCGGGGTGCAGGCAGCTCTCCGCAAGCTGTGGGAGAGCTGCGCGAAGTTGCGCAGCTCTCCCATGGCTTGCAGATAGCTTCCTGAAGCCTGGAGAGCGAGAGGGGTTGGTGCGCACCGACCCCCCCTCGCTCTCCAGGCTTCAGCGAAAGCCTGCATTCGCCCCATAGGATGCACACACATTTCCCCTTCATTTTTGGAGGGGAAAAAGTGCGTCCTATAGGAGCGAAAAATACGGTAATTTTAATCTTGTTGTTATCCTGGGACCTTATGGACAAGGGTGGGTAAGAAATCCAGTAATTATTATCATCTTGTTATTAATAAAAAAGCTGTAGATTCTCACCCCTCCCACAAACATATAAATATCTCCCCTTCTGAAACCTGTGTTTGTGTGTAATATTTATGTACAGTATAGTGATTCTATACAGTATAGTGATTCACAACCTTGATGGCAGAAAGTGAGGAGGAATTAAAGAACCTTTTAATGAGGGTGACAGAGTGCAAAATATAGTCTGAAACTCAACATCAAAAAAACGAAGATCATGGCCACTGGGCCCATCACCTCCTGGCAAATAGAAGGGGAAGAAATGGAGGCAGTGAGAGATTTTACTTTCTTGGGCTCCGTGATCACTGCAGATGGTGACAGCAGTCACGAAATTAAAAGACGCCTGCTTCTTGGGAGAAAAGCAATGACAAACCTAGACAGCATCTTAAAAAGCAGAGACATCACCTTGCCAACAAAGGTCCATATAGTTAAAGCTATGGTTTTCCCAGTAGTGATGTAGGGAAGTGAGAGCTGGACCATAAAGAAGGCTGGTCGCCGAAAAATTGATGCTTTTGAATTATGGTGTTGGAGGAGACTCTTGAGAGTCCCATGGACTGCAAGAAGATCAAACCTATCCATTCTTAAGGGAATCAGCCCTGAGTGCTCACTGGAAGGACAGATCGTGAAGCTGAGGCTCCAATACTTTGGCCACCTCATGAGAAGAGAAGACTCCCTGGAAAAGACCCTGATGTTGGGAAAGATGCACAAGGAGAAGGGGATGACAGAGGACGAGATGGTTGGACAGTGTTCTCAAGCTACCAGCATGAGTCTGACAAAACTGCAGGAGGCAGTGGAAGACAGGAGTGCCTGGCGTGCTCTGGTCCATGGGGTCACAAAGAGTCGGACCCGACTAAACGACTAAACAGCAACAAATGGTGATTCTGCTTGGGGTGGCTTTGTTTTTTGCCTATTGAGTAGCTTCAGATTCCTTACCCTTTTTTTGCACTTGGCTTTGGGGGCAAACACCATCTTGGCCGTCTCAAGTGGCAAACGCTCCTGGCGTGCCAGCATCCACACAGCCCATCACATGCGGTTATCTGACAAACTGGTTGCAGACAGCTGTGCTGCTCCGTGTTGATTTTGCCACATCTTCCATCATTCGCATTGCTCCAATAACAAAATAAAAACCCCACTTTTAAACAGCACGATTCTCCTGGCAAGGTGGGGGGGGGTCTCTGGACTGTCCTGTTTATTGCTGATTGGAAAGCAGCAACAGCCCCTGCTCTCCCAGGTGAAAAAAATAAATAAATGTGGAGGGCAGGAAACCAACTGCAGCCATGTGTTCCATCCTCTTTGCTACTGGTTACTCACTCGGAGCTATGGAGTCTGTGATTGGCTGTCAAATAGGAATGGCCACTGTGGAAAGATGGTCTCCTCCAATGATGGGCGAGGGGTGGTATAAATCCAGGAGGGATGATTGCGCCTTTTCTGCTAGTCTCTTCCAGTGGATGCTCCCCAAATACTCTTCCTCATTTCCAAAAAGTCCTCTGGGTATCAGAAGGATGCAGGAGAGGGAGGGTGGGGCGGGGGAGGATGAAAAGACTGAAAATACTTCCCCCCCTTCGGCTTAGAATGCCTGTAAGGAACATCATCTTTTCAGAAACTGACGGAGCGTGGCAGCCAGGGAAGCGAAAAGGAGACTCTAGTGCACAGTGGCAGAGATCATCAGCCCATCTCCTTTCAGATCAGGAACCAAGGAAGCCCACAGCAGGGGTTTCCCACAGAGACACACATCTTTTGGTGGCTGGTGCAGAAATATTGGCGCAGGTGGAAAAGGCCAGGTACAATACGGAGAGAATGATAACCTGTGCTGAGACAATGGGGTGGGGGGTAGGGAGGAAGGGGGAGCGAAATGTTACACATCTCATACTAAAAGAGGGAGGAAGTTGCATTGCCAGTATGCAGTGAGGGAGAAGACTTGGGACTGTCTGCTCAGATTGGCAGTTTTATCTCCAGGGTTTTGTCTTCTCCATCAATTGCTACCTGAGACCCTTTTAAATTGGATGTGCCTGGCATGCTCAACCACTGAGCTATCGTTTCTTTCCCTTCCACCCCACTCTGTTTTCACTTGAACAGAATGCTTAATGGGTCTAACAGCAGGGGGGGGACCCCATCATCAACTGACATTACAGACAAAGGAGCCATCAGTTTGTGCATTCTAAATTAAACAGGTAAGTTAATGTGTAAGCCCTCCAAACATCCAAATAGGCATCCACATGAAATTGAAATATGGCATATGCTCAAATGTAGACAGGACAGCAAGATCCTCAGACAATCATAATACTGTGTAGGGTTGGAAGGGACACCTAGTGCGGGAATCACAGCTAGAGAAACACTGACAGGTGGCCACCTGAACTCTGTTTGGAAACCTCCAGTGAAGGAGAACTGGTTGTGGTCCTCTCCTCTGGAGCAGCAGAAAGCAAGCTTGCTCCAACTTCCATGTGACAGCCCTTTAGATATTTGAAGATGGTAACAGACGGTCGATATTTATCCTACTAGGGGTTGCAAAATCCTTTTTATTGTGTGTGTGTGTGTTCTCCTGCCACTAATCCCCATATGTCAGGCATATAATTTATTATTGCATTAAAATGCAAACAGGACTTGCACACCCGGCTCAGAACTGCACCTGACACCAGGATCTCTCACCTGCTAGGCTGTTCTCAGACGCCTGTCCCTTCCTCTGCCTCAGGGGAATCCTCTTCTGGTTCTGCTCGCGGGGCCAGCTGGGCAACAGGGGCACTTCCCAAAATGCCCCGGCGGAGAACATATGGGCAAGAGGGACCAGATGGGATGTCAGCAAAACCTGCGGGGGAGAAACGAGGCCAGATCTGCTAAAGTGGACACAGTGGTGGGGGTGTCCTTTCTGCTTTGTTTTCAAGTTGAAAAGAATCTCCTTTCACCCGAAAGGTTTGCATGCAAACTATGGTATGCATCCCCCCCAAAATAGCACCATCCCATGCTCTTCAATGCACTTTCCCATTAAACAAACATTTTATATACATTCTAACCGTATTTCTGGCTGCATTTTTATTCTGCTCAATTCATTACATCATAGTTGTGGCGCCAGCTAGGCTCGGCTCCCAGTGCAGTGGAACCAGTTGTGCTGCCTTAAATCCGCCTCTGATTTAAAGCACTTATACTGTTTTAACAGCTACGGGCTCCCCCAAAGAATGATGGGAGCTGTTGCTTGTTAAGGGTACTGAGAGCTATTAGGAGACCACTAACTCCCCTCACAAAGCTGCCATTCTCAGAGTGGTGTAACAATCCATTTCTCTTCACTGGGAACTCTCAGAATTCTGGCTCTGTGAGGGAAATAGAGAGGCCTAAAAAAGCTCTCAGCACTCTTAGCTACAGTTCCCATGATTCTTTGTGGGGAGCCATGGCTGTTTAAAGTGGCATCATAGTGCTTTAAATGTGGTGTAATTGGGCCAGTCTGCTATAAAAAGCTTCCTCCAACCCTCCTCAAAGGGTCAATGTCAAGCTGTGGCAGCTCAGAACAGGACTTTGGGGCAGATGCCCAGAGCTTCACTGAGCAGATAAACAAGGGGGCCCCTCCGAGAGTAGTCAGGCTTGCTGCTAACCTTGTTTAAAGTTATATATATATATCCATCAAAAAAGGGTTTCCACCGTAAGCCCATTAAGTCCAGATTCTAAACTCACCTCATGGCACCACTGATGGCCTTGTGGTGCTTCCTTTTTCTCTTCCCCTCCCCAATTCCCCACATACCTTTCATGACCACCTCAGGGAGCCCGTAGGGTTCATACTGAGTGTCATCAAAGGCCACAGAGACACGTTCCCTGCGCCGATGGCCACACTCTGGTCCCTCAGTTTGGGTCTGGACATTTCGTCGGCTCCCCTGAGACAAGGGCTCTCTCTTCTGGGAAGCTTCAGGAACTGCAAGACACAGAGACCTTGCATTAGGGTACATATACACCAGATATTTAAAGCACCCTACCCAACCGTCCTGGGAGTTGTAGTTTGCCCCTCGCAGTTACAGTTCCCAGCACCCTTCACAAACTGGGGTTATTGGGGCAGCTGTGTGCTCTAAATGTAAGGTGTGCTTGCAACCTAAGGACAGTGCGATGACAAAAGAAGGTATGTCCGGTTTCCCCCATGACCTTCCTGTGCTAAAAGGAAAAACATTGCCATTTCAAAAAAAAGGGGGGGGAAATATTTGGCTCCATGTTCCTCCAAGGAATCCTGGGAAATGTAGTTTGTTATGGGTGCTGAGAGCTGAGAACCCTAGTCCCCTCACAGAGCCATGATTCCCAGAGTTCCCTGGAAAATACTCAGAGAACCGGAGCTCTGAGGGGAATAGTCTCTCAGCACCCTTAACAACAGGATTTGGAGGGGGGAGCCATGGCTGTTTAAAGTGATATCATAGTGCTTTAAATGTATGCTGCAGATGATTTCCCAGTGCAAGAAACAAGGTACAGTGGTACCTCAGGTTACAGACACTTCAGGTTACAGACTCCGCTAACCCAGAAATATTACCTCGGGTTAAGAACTTTGCTTCAGGATGAGAACAGAAATTGTGCGGCGGTGGCGGGAGGCCCCATTAGCTAAAGTGGTACCTCAGGTTAAGAACAGTTTCAGGTTAAGAATGGACCTCCAGAACAAATTAAGTTCTTAACCCGAGGTACCACTATATTCCTCTTCTCTTCCTTCCCCAGTTTGGATTCTCTCCCCTCTATATTCTATGCCCACCCTCCCCTTACCATCTGCAGTCTCGGCTGCTTCTCTGCCGTTTCCTGAGCCAGCCAGTCCCAAGGGGCCAGTGGTGTCCTCCTCTCCTCTTTTCTGGTGCCAGGCCTCCCAGGTAGCCAGCTCCTTGCGCAGGACCAGGTTTTCCTGCTGAAGCTGGGCAAGAGAGGCCTCCAGCTGCAGACAGAGAGTCACCCATGAAAACAGACACCGCTAAGAGATCGCCCACACTTCCGCTTGCCCCCTGCTTGATTTGCACTTTCTAGACGTGGGTCAGAGCTGTTTTCCTCTCGCCCCGATCCTTTCCCAGGGAAAACCCAAGCTTTCGTGCTAAATTGGAGCAAACATCAATCCAGAGAAAACCAGAATTGCAGCTTGCTCTGATTGAGAGCCTAAGAGCGATTTTTCTCAGGGGAAAGCAGTGCAACAAGTTGGATAGCCTGAGCCCTAATCTCAAAAGGCTGCTTACAAGAGATCAGTCCAGACACCCGGCAATAGGAATTTTGTGCTTGGCACCCCCTCCCCCCCCAAATGATCTGGCTGGCACAGGACACAAAACCACAGCTCGCCCCTATACACGAAGCCAAGCCAGAGCACAACTAAATGCAATACAGCCATCTTCTCAGAAAAACTCTTCACAAAGTTCAAGAGGTCAAGACACGAAGGCTTTAGCAACTAATCCACACCTAATGACCCACCTAAGTGGTACTCAGGATATCACTCAAGAAATCACTCAAGATATCCCTCAAGTAATTAAGGAACAAAAGAAGAAAAGGCACACTAGCCTGGGAACTTCCTCTCTGCCCAGAACATTGGAGGCTATACACCACACCCCCTCAACAGTATTTATAGGAACTCAACACTGAGATCCTGCTCTGTTCCAGTAACAAGAAGCCGAAAGCACCAGCCTGAAGATGACGAGTGAGACCTCGTCGAAACGTCGCCTAGACACCCCAACTTTTACACGGGAAGACACCCGAGGACACCAAAACCTGCATTCCTGTACCCGTGAAAATCTACGAAAGCATATATATATATATATATATATATATTCCAAATGGGACGCGGGTGGCGCTGTGGGTTAAAGCCTCAACGCCTAGGACTTGCCGATCAAAAGGTCGGCGGTTCGAATCCCCGCGGCGGGGTGCGCTCCCGTTGCTCGGTCCCAGCGCCTGCCAACCTAGCAGTTCGAAAGCACCTTCGGGTGCAAGTAGATAAATAGGGACCGCTTACCAGCGGGAAGGTAAACGGCGTTCCATGTGCTGCGCTGGCTCGCCAGATGCAGCTTGTCACGCTGTCCACGTGACCTGGAAGTGTCTGCGGGCAGTGCTGGCTCCCGGCCTATAGAATGAGATGAGCGCACAACCCTAGAGTCTGGCAAGACTGGCCCTTACGGGCAGGGGTACCTTTACCTTTATATATTCCAAATGTCATCACTCTCTCTTTCTTTAAATAGTGTAAGCCTCAGATCTGGCTTTTTTCCCTTCTCCCTCCGAATTCCTTTTCCTTTTGTGCAGTGTCTTTCATATTGCAAACCACAGGCAGGGACCGATAGCATCAATGACCTTTGTAAGCTGGTCCAGGGGCCTTTTGTTTTGGCGGAAGAGTGGGACAAAGATGCTTTCAACAATTAAAATCCATAAAAGATTCCTAGCACGCCTCGAGGAGAGTAAACTTACTTGTTCCTGGACTCCCGGCTGCACCGGCTTCTCTTCGGGCAGACGTCCCGCTAGACCAACATCCGCAATGCTCAACATGTCTCCCTGCAGCTGGGCCGACACCAGAGGGACCTCTGAGGTCTCGCTGCCTCCGCGCACCTCCAAGGTGTTTGAGGGGCTTTCTGCATGGTGCCCCTCCGCCTCCCTCTGCCCCAGCAGAGCCCGCAGCCTCTGGCCCTCGGCGTCGGCCATTTCCAAGGCTTTCTTGGTCTCCTCCAGCTCCTGGCGGAGGCTCCTCATCAACTGCTCCTTCTCCTCGGCGTCCGCCAGCAGCTCCTCCACATGGCGGCTCTGGGTCTCCATGGCTCGTGCCAACCGCTCCGTCTGCCTCCCCAGCGTGGCCTGCAGGACCTGGAGCTTTTCCTGGGCCAAGATGGCTTGGGCTTCGGCTTGGGCCTTGCCAGAGGCCAAGTCCAGGAGGTCCTCCTGCAAACCTTCCACGTTCCCCTCCGGGTCAGGGGTCCTGCCTCCTTGGCCCTCTGCCTCAGTCTCCCCGTGGGCCTGCCGTGTGGCTGGCGCATCTTCTCCTGTTTCAGACGTCTCTACGTCCGAGGTCAGCTCCTTCCCCGGATCTGCCACAGCCTTGGGTTCAACCGCCCCTCCATCTTCTTCAACTTCTTCTGCCACAGAGACTTCCCCACCAGCCGCCATCACCGAGGCCTGTCCTTTGCTCCTGGGGGCCTGGCAAACCCCATGGATCTCTGGGGAGCCCTTTGTCTTTTGCCAGGCCGCCGCTCCCACCATTGAACCCAACTGCCTCTCCTGAGCCCAGGCCCGGCTTTTCTCTTGCTGCCAGCAAGCCTCAAGGAGGGTTTTGCGTTGGCTCTCCGAAGCATCCAGGCGCCGCCGCAACGTCAAAACCTCGGTTCTGAGGGCCTGTAGTTCCTCCCGGCCCCGCTCCGTACTCTGGGCCCGGGAGCTCGGTGAGGGAAGGCCTGAGGAAAGAGATGGCAGAGAAGAGAAAGCCTGAGAACAGTGATATGTTGTAGTTAAAAGAGATAAAATCACAATTTCGCACTGTGGAGGTCATTCAGGTCTTAGATTTTAAGTGCACACTTCCAAAGCATCATGGGACTCATAGTTTGCCCCTGTACGGAGCTGTGGTTCCCAGCACCCATAACAAACTACAGTTCCCAGGGTTGGGGGGGGGAGCTGCGTGCTTCAAATGTGCTTTGAAAGAAGCCCCAGTTAAAACAAAAATTGAACTGCACACGGCAAGTTGATAGTGCTGGTGGGTGTGTGGAGAGAAAAAGCAGCAAGCGAAATTTCAGTGGGTCTACTCTGAGGTAACGATCATGTGTAGCAGAATCTGATTCAGGTGTGCCTAAATCAGGAGTCAGGATCTGGAGGCAAAAATATTACGTTCTACCATTCTGTGTATAAATCTTGCTTGCAATGCTCCCTTGTATTAAAAAAAATATATTATAGGTTGGGGAGGAATTTGCTAAGGAGATCACTCTGTCAGCAAAAGCATTTCGGCTTGCCTGGTGGAAGGATCTGCCCTCTCCTCCCCCCATACACCATTCGGGGGGGTGTCTCCCAACCCCCCAAAGATTTGGGGACATGGGGGGCAGAGGAGGGAGCCAATGGGGGAGAGCCCCACTGCACTAGTGAAAGCTCTTGTGCAAGCTTTCACTAGTGGGACACATTCATTGAATCCAGCCCCATATATTTCTTTTAAAGAAACATACAATTTAAAAAATCCTCCATTCTCCAATTCTTTACACCTGGACAACAGAAAAAATTGATTTAATTAGAGTTCCTGGAAGTTCAAATGCAAACTTCTGAATATGAATGCACAACATTTCAATTCCATATTTTTTATTACTAAGCATTACACTTATAAATAGCCACACAGACACGGCACTCACCTCTGACACTGTCCACCAAAAGAAGAAAATATTTCTGTTCCTCCCCACTCAGGAGGAGTTCAAACACAGTTAGTGGGGGAACCAGTTCACCGGTTTGTCATCCATTAACTCAGTAGCCTTAAATCATCCAAATTTAGGATTGCGGTTACATCCCTAGTTTAAAGGGCTACTGCTCCTTCAGAACTAGTACAGTATAGGTAATAAAATCTGGAGCAGGAGTGTGGTGCAGTGGTTAGGGTGCTGGACTAGAACCTCGGAGACTAGGGTTCAAATCCCCCCACCCAGTAATGAAAGTTCACTGGGTCATCTTGGGGGGGGTGTCACAGTCTCTCAGTCTAGCCTAACTCACAGAGTTGTTGCGAATATGAAATGGGGAGTGAGAAGAACCACGAACTCTTGAGCTCTTAGGAGAAAAAACTGGAGTATAACTATAACCAGGAATGAACACACAAAAGAAAAGCACAGTTAACAGAGTTTTAAAGAAAAATAAAAACCTTCTTGCTTTATTAGCCTGCAAACGTGTTCCCTTGGTAGCAAGGGATTACCCTACAACTGAAAAATGCCATAATACAGTAAGCAAAATAGGGTGGAATCCAAATAAGTTCTGCTTGTAGTAAACTTTATTTAAATGAATAGCCATATCTATTAATTTCAACGGTCTACTCTGAGTAGGACACTGGATAAAACCCATACACCTACATGAAAGCTACATATCATACAAAATATAATTATTCCATATATATATATATACACACACACACACACACACACACACACACACACACACATATATATACCATAAAGGTATGCAATATATGAAATACTATACATAACATACAAAATATAATTACAATATGCACATTTCTATAGAACCATGACCAGGGATAAATATAACAAGGACTGAAGGCTCACGATTCTTGCAAAAAGAAAAACAAATGCAGACTGCTCTTTATATCACTGCCATCTAACACAAACACACACAAAAACATGTGCAGAGTCTCACCTTTCAATTTGGTGTGAGCTCCCCGTTTCTCAACCGGCTGCTCCAAGCGGGAGGAGCTTATGCTACGACGGCTGCCACTAGAGGGCACCTTTTCTGTCCCAAGCAGGCCCTGTTTTGAAAGTGGGCGTTAAGAGCAGAGAGGTCAGGGACACAAGGCAGAATGCCAGTTTCCCCACCCATGTCTGTCCAACGGCTGCCTCGATACCCCCACTGCAAAAGAGAAAGTTGGCAAAAGAAAGGAGTCTGGGTTGTTGTTTTCTTGGAGACTATTATTCTGGTCCACCCATTTTTTTCTGGTCGTGGCCTTTTCCTTCGTTGCAAATATCGTGGCAGGAGAGCTGAGTTAAAACAACTCAAAGAGTACTTTATTAATTTTATGGTAAAATGACATTCCAATAAAAACTGCAGAGTGTTGTTCCATGCTTACATCAGACTTGTAAGGAAAATATTGAGTGCGGACACTGTCAAATCACTGAACCATTTAATACATTGCTAAGGCTTCAGCTAGGACGCAGGTGGCGCTGTGCGTAAAACCTCAGCGCCTAGGACTTGCCGATCGTCAGGTCGGCAGTTCGAATCCCCGCGGCAGGGTGCGCTCCCGTCGTTCGGTCCCAGCGCCTGCCAACCTAGCAGTTCGAAAGCACCCCCGGGTGCAAGTAGATAAATAGGGACCGCTTACTGGCGGGAAGGTAAACGGCGTTTCCGTGTGCTGTGCTGGCTCGCCAGATGCAGCTTGTCACGCTGGCCACGTGACCCAGAAGTGTCTCCGGACAGCGCGGGCCCCGGCCTCTTGAGTGAGATGGGCGCACAACCCCAGAGTCGGACACGACTGGCCCGTACGGGCAGAGGTACCTTTACCTTTAAGGCTTCAGGTATTCATGACTCTCTATAAGGAAGCACGAGTGTCTGCAGGTCTGACATTAACCCCATTCTCTTTACCTAACTCCAACTCTCCACAGGCCTCAATGGTCGGTGCAAAGGCTTCTGGGACTGCACTTGCAAAGTCTCCTGGGATTGCTAAGCGCTGTTTTCGCACCATTTCTGCCATTTCCGCACTCTTTTAGGGCCACCCATGCCCCTTTCTGTGCCACTTCCAGGTTCGCAGCGATGTGCCCATGCGCAGTTGCCTGTGCCTTGAATGCACGTAAATGGGGAGTTGCCAGCACATTTTTTAAAAATTCAAAAACACGGAGAAGCGGCAGTTCAGTGGCAGAACACCTGCTCTGCATGCAGAAGGTTCCTGCTTCAATCGCAGTTTAAAGAGGTCTTAAAGGGAATTCTCTCTGCCAGAGGACCTTAGACAGCCACTGCCAGGAACTTAAAAAGAGAGACAAGAGTGTGAAACCGCCGAGTCATAACTTATCCAGGAGCCCATCTAGAACAGCATCCTGGTCGCACAGTCGCTCGTCAGATGCCTATGGGAAACCAGCAAGCAGAATTAGAGCACAAGAGAACTCTCCCTTCTTGTGGTTTCCAGCAACTGGTATTCAGAAGCCCTGCTGGCTCCAGCTGTAGAGGCAGAGCAGTATCCTGCTACAAGTCTCCATTAACTTAGTGACATTTCAGTGATGGCATCATCATCTATGGCGGCTGAGTCCCAGTGCTATTTTTGCACCAATGGATTCTTTGTACTGCAGTTCTGCCTGAGCTCCCTGTTTGAAAGCAGCCCATAGCACATGCGTATGGTTTACATTATGTACTGTATTATATTATATTGTTATGAATTTAGGGGAGGAGGAAAAAGGCTCTGTGCAATACCTTTCTAATCCCTGGATCCAGCAAGTGTTAAAACATAAGCCAGGCTAGCTGCCTGTGTTGAGTAGGGCTGCCATACTTCTGGATTTTCAAAGGCGGAATTGACGTCCAGGGGGAATTTCCAAAATGTGGTGCTAGATCTTAGACAAGTCAATCGAAAAATCGTGGGTTTTGGTTGTTTTTTTTGTAAAAGTGCTCAGCAACTTTCAGGGTGTCCTGGTCTTTACTTTTTGAAATATGGTGCGCCTACTGTTGAGGCGATAGCCTGGGAGATGGGCCATTAAGGAAAACAAAGGAAAGTGGCTCTGCGCAAGACAGCAAACTCATGGTTAGTTAGAAGAAGGATGAAGCCAGAGTTAGAGTTTAGTTGCAGTGATGTGACCTGGAAGTAAAGCAGCAAGCCGGAGTGAGTTTGAGAGCCGTGATTGATTTCTGTTTGAATCCAAGGCTGCAGCTATGAGAGAAGCAAGACCCTATTGGAGTGTAAATGCTGTAAAACCCTCCCCTGTAGGCTCGGATTGTATATATATGGAAATAAACCATCTATCATAAGGACACCACGGTCTCCGCTGTGCCTCATTTCCAAAAACAAACATGAATCCTTGATAAGTGCCTGGAACTCCTGAAACATTCAGAGATTGGGGGGGGGGGCGTGCAACAATATGTTAGGAAGATTAGCCCACCTTTTGCTGGTGCCTGCTTTGGCGCAGGTCTCCCACATCCACCGACGGCCGCCTCCCTCTGTTTTCCAGGGAGCTGCTCTGGAACAGAAGAAAAAGAAAGGAACTCTAATCCATTAGAGGGAGGCAATAAATGTCAACCGTTGCGCTGCCACTTGAAACGTCCTCACCTGAGCAATAGCCCAGTGGCCACTAGAAGAGAAGGATGCTGAATAAATGGGCCACTGGCCTGATCCAGCAGCCAGACTCTTACGTTATTAAGAGGGAAGAGCACCCTATGTGTTATTGCATTATGGGCTACGCTACAGCCATGAGGGGAAAGGCAGAGGTGTCTAGGCCCCAAATCTACACATCTATCTATCTATCCACCCTGTTGCTAGGCAGTTGAGGAATTATCACAATTCAAGGGCACAGCACAGGACCATTTTGAGGAGAGCGAGGAGCAAGGCTGGTGAGGGGTGTTCTCTGGGAGGGGGCCTGGGCTGGGGAAGGCCTGAGGACCGCATAGGGAGGCCTGGAGGTCCCACACTTCCTAGTCAGCCAAAGAGGCAGGAATTGTGAAGCCCTGCTGGTTCCCCTGGTGTTGCAGCCAACGGAGAGGCTGGATTGGACCGCTCTGCAGTCAGCATCTTGCATAAAAGTGCCTGTATTCGTCCCCCGCCCGCCCGCCCCCTGCAACCTCCAGCGCTGCCAAGACTCCCTTGACCTGTTCCCGAGAAGAAGCTTGTAAAAAGGCACTCGGCTGATGAGCCACAGCCTTGTAAAACTCTCCACCTGCAGATTGGGGGGCCGGCTGGGGGGGGGGTGATGGGAAACATTGGCTGCTACCTTCAGTAGCGTTTCCTGCGAAGAAACACAGGCGATAATTAATGGTGCTAATAATTGCGCCCAGCCAACCGACAAGGACACGGGGCCTCGTAAAACATGTCAGGCGGTGCATGAGGGAGGGGGGGGGATACCTAACCAGCAAAGTTGCTTCGTCATGGTTTTGCGCAGAGCTGAGGCCAGGATTTAGGGGGTGGTTGTGGATCCCCTTTCTCTCTCTCACCAACAGTAGCTGGTGCCCATTAGAACCGGTAGGGCAGAAGGCAGGGAGCCCACCAGTAGGTGGCGCCAGAGCCAATGGCAGGCAGAGCCAACTAAAGCTACCTTCCTGCTGAGTTCTACAAGGGGCAATGCTGAGACCAAAGAAGAGGAAGCTGGCAGGCAGGGCCACCACCTGGACGGGCTGTAAGAAAGAAGGCAGGCAGGTGGGGGCTGCTTGAGGGCAGGCCGAGGTCGGTGGGGCCGTTCCCCATTTGCCCTGATGGACCAGAACTTCATGATGTGGGTTTGTTTATCTTTTTACAAGGCAGGGGAAGCCTCATTTAAAAGAGAGTGGGGTGGTTTGGGGATCATTTCCATCCTTTCCTTTTGCAAGTTCATAATTACAGTTCTCCCGTGCTACCCCAGCGAGGGGCAATAGATGCACCCTATCTGCAGCGATGGGGGCGGGGAGCTAACACTTTGCAGGCAAGCCTCTTTCTGAAAAGCAGGTGGTGGAGCTCAAAGCCCCTCCACCAAGCTGGAAGCCTGTGCTGGGCCCAGGGGTTAACCCAAGCAACGCAGTCCAGGTCCTGTCCCGAATCCAAGGAGTCCGCAAGGAGTCAGTCCGACAGGGCCAAGGCAGGAAACCAGGCAAGGTCAGGCACAGGGTCTCAGGCAGGATCTAGCATATAGCAATGTTGCTCCCGCAACCTGGGGCAGGGTCCAACAGCCTTTTATCTTTGTCGGGGTAACGGCCGGTCCTGATCCCCCGGCGACTCACCTCCCTGTCTTGCCCGAAGTCAAGCACTCCTCCTGCGAGTACTCAGGTCTCTCCTTCTCTCAGACCTTAGTCTCTGCAGCTCAGGAGATGTCGGTGGGTTACTAGACCCAGAGGCCGCCTCAGCCTCTCTTGATCCAAATGGTAATGGAGCAGCTGTAAGTGATGGCCCAGCTGAAGGCAACAAGGTAATCCCCGCATTTGGAGCCAGGGCAGGCTCAGGCCCCTAACTAGGCCCAGCTGGTGCTTGTTGCAGGGGAACCTGTGCAGACTGGGGCTCTTCAGAACCAGACCCCAGACTTGGTCCAGATGCCGCCTGAGGCAAAGGATCCGGTGCGGACTGAGACTCCTCTGGTTCCGAGTCCAAGCCCGAGTCCCAGGCCATCACAAAGCCTGAACTCCTAACTGTCACAGGACAGGCAGGTAGGGGCACAGGAGCTGTTTAGGAATTGAAGAGTCAAAGTAGGGAGGGCAAGGCCTGGATTCAAATCAGCCCAGATCCCCACTCAACCATTACAGCTCTTGGATGCGGCTGCTAGAGCAAGAATTGCAATCACTCTTCCTCTATTTGGAATATTAATAGCCCTCCTCACAGGGTTGCTTGTGGAGACAAATGAGGCCATTACGGTGAGGCACATGCCCCCCGCACAGTTAAAAAGCGAAATTAACAGCGCCCCTCGGAGAGGACAAGAGGATGCCTTGTCGCTTTTGGAACCATGCAGGTTTAATGTCTTTATGTACCCCTCCCACAAAAAGCTCTGCCTAATAATAGTATTTCTTAAAAGGAGCCATGCAGATGTGTGCATAAATTTGGTTGGGATTAGATACTTATAAGGACGCGGGTGGCGCTGTGGGTTAAACCACAGAGCCTAGGACTTGCCAATCAGAAGGTCGGCGGTTTGAATCCCCGTGACGGGGTGAGCTCCCATTGCTTGGTCCCTGCTCCTGCCAACCTAGCAGTTTGAAAGCACGTCAAAGTGCAAGTAGATAAATAGGTACCACTCTGGCGGGAAGGTAAACGGCGTTTCCGTGTGCTGCTCTGGCTCACCAGAAGCAGCTTAGTCATGCTGGCCACATGACCCGGAAGCTGTACGCCGGCTCCCTCGGCCAATAAAGCGAGATGAGCGCCGCAACCGCAGAGTCGGTCACGACTGGACCTAATGGTCAGGGGTCCCTTTACCTTTACCTAGATACTTATAGGCTGCAATCACCCACCTCCTGCCCTTTCTCCCACTGCTGCCCTCTCTGTGTGGATGTGGCAAATTTGGCCTTCCAGTTTGTTCCACAATATGGCCCTACCAGGGTCTCACCAAAATGTATGAGTTTGCTGCTAGCTTGGTTTTGCAAGACCCAGAGGTTTGGTCAACCGGGCGACAGTAGCATAGACCCCTCAACACCAGTCTCAACACCAGAGGTTTGGTCAAGCAGGCCACCATGGCATATAGACAAAGGCTGGCACTAGAGCTGTGTGCTCAGCCTTAAGTCATCCTTAAGTTGGAAGGGACCCTGATGGTCATCTAGTCCAACCCCCTGCAGTGCAGAAAGCTTTTGCCCAACGTGGGGCTCGAACCCGTGATCCTGAAATTTAGAGTCTCATGCCTACTCACCTCCGTCTGTCCGCCTCGCTGCTTCTTCCACTGAGCCAGCTCAGCTCGGATCAGCTCCAACTGCCCCTGCAAATTCCACAGTTCCCTTTCCTTTTCTTGCATCCGGGTTTCTGCTTTGCCAAGAGCGAGTCTCAACTCTGAATGGCAGAGGAGGGGAAAGGAAAAGCCGCTCAGGCAGCGGTGGGGAACCAGTTCCACTCCGAGGGCCACATTCCCTTCCGAGGGCCGCGTGGTGGGTGGGGCCAGAGTCTAAAGTGGCTGGAGCAATGAAGCAAATGCTGCGTTTGCTTGGTAAGCCTCACACATTCCCAGCAAGGCCAGGGAGAATTGTGGTCCGGGGAGAGTTCTGAGGGCCGGGCGGAATTCTGAGGGCCGCATGGTTTTAAAAAACCTACAGACCACGTTCCGATACCTTGATTTTCTTTCTCGAGCCTCTCTCCCATGGATGCCAGTTCTGATGCCATCGCCTGGGCCCCTTCGCCATTCTCTGTGGGGATGGGGCTCCCGGGTGGGGCACTGGGACAAGCCGCTTCTTGCTGCCAGGAGGCGGTGGGGCTCTCCTTCCCGCAGGGGCCTCCAACGGCAGGGCTGCTGTCCTGAATCTGCTGGAAAGTGGGAAAGGAGTAAGAAAAGTCTCATGGTCCAAGACCAGCTTTAAAAGCAGACTCTGCCAATCTGATGCCTTTCAGGTGTCCTAGACTACAAGTCCCATCGGATTCAACCAGCGCTGGCTAATGGGAGCTGGAGTCCTGAAGCCTGGAGGGCACCAGCTGTTCCAAAGCCACATTAAAGCAATACTCACACTTGCTCCAGCTGCAAGGGTCCTGCTAAGCTCTGCTTTGGCCTCAATGCCACCTAGAGAACAGAGGGAGAACTGGTTGCCAGGGGAACCAATTTGGGCCTGCAGATTGAATAAAGCCTACCTGTGGTAGTAGGTTACCGTATTTTTCGCTCTATAAGACGCACCAGACCATAAGACACACCTAGTTTTTGGAGGAGGAAAAGAAGAAAAGAAATATTCTGAATCCCAGAAGCCAGAACAGCAAGAGGGATTGCTGCACAGTGAAAGCAGCGATCCCTCTTGCTGTTCTGGCTTCTGGGATAGCTGCGCAGCCTGCATTCGCTCCATAAGACACACACACATTTCCCCTTACTATTTAGGAGGGGAAAAGTGAGTCTTATAGAGCAAGAAATACGTTATATAGACACGAGCAAAACCACTCTGCTGTGGGCTACCGCCCCATCTCCAGGCCACCAGAGTTTTGATTTTCCTCTTCCCTCCGTGTCCCTTTTCCCTTGTGTGTCGTGTTTTGTCTTGTTTTCAGATTGTAAGCCTGTGGGCAGGGACGGCCCTTGTGGGAGCCTTTTTGGATGAAGAGTGGGGGTACAAATGCCCTAAATAAATCTAAATCCCTCAACTGACAACCCCTCCTTTTCCCTCAACCCCCCCCCCCCGCCACGAAGTCACAGACTCTGCCTTGACTCTTTCCCGTGACTCTTCAGCCGCTAATTCCACCTCCATCTGGCAAAGCCTCTAATCCCCGGACGTAGGAAGAGACGCCTCTCGCTCGCTGGCTTGGCCTAAGAGGACCCTGTGCCCTTTCCTCATCTTCCGGCTTCTTACCTTCGGCCCACGGCGCGGAGGAACACCAGCGGGGGGGCAGGAGGGCCAAGTGGGACTGCGACTGCAGCTTGTCCAGTTCGATTTGGCACCTGGAGGGAGGCAGAGGGAAGGAAACAGGAGAAAGGAGATCCTCCACAGTCATAGGCAGTGTACCTGTGTGTACCAGTCTGCAGCGAGATCCTGTACCTAGGGGACTTTTTACTCCAGCCAATGGAATGGACCAGCTTTTTTTTTAAAAAAAATGTTTCATGGGGTGTTCCAAATGAAGAACTGATCCAGGAAAATAGAATTTAAGAAGTTTGAATCTGTTGACCTAACGTATTTTGTTTAGGGGCATTATATGACCCCAAAATATGTTGGAATTTGGCTCCAGGTAGCAAAGCATCCCTTCAAAAACTCAGACCCTCCAAGTACTGTATCCCTATTTTCAGGGACAGTCCCAGATTTACAAAAGCCATCCTGGTTTCTGATTTAATCCTGGAATGTCCTGCTTTTCCTTAGGACATCCCTATTTTCACAGAGAAATGTTGGAGGTTATGGAGTTATCCGACCCATGAGCCATCTGAAGGCAGCCCTGGATTGGGAAGTTTTTAAATGTTTAATTGTGTTTTTATATATGTTGAAAGACACTCAGAGAGGCTGGGGCAATCCAATCAGATGGGCGGGGTATAAATAGTAACATTATTATTATTAATTATTATTATTATTGAATAACACAGTACTATTTTCATCGGAGAAATTTTGGAGGGTATAAACTCTCCATCAGGCTTTATGTGTTGTCCTTGACAAAGAAGTCACCTGGAGTGGCTAGGGCAACTGAATCAGATGGGTGGGGTATGAATGAATGAATGAATGAATAAATGAATGAATGGAGGTTTTGTGGTAGTCACCAGCTTGGAGGGTTTTAAAAGAGGATTAGACAAACCCATTGCTATCGACCAGGGAGAAGAGTCGGTGGAAGAAGATTGGAAGAAATTTAAAGATTACCTACAGAAATATTGTAAAATTAATGAGTGTTAAAATGATGTTGGATGAAAGTTATGAGGTTTTTAGTTATAGTACTATAAGGAGTATGGAAAAAATGGATTATTAACAGACAAAAATTTAATGTTACATTATTTTAAGATTAAAGATTAGGATAAACAAAGAAGGGAAAGGATTTGCTGAACTAACAAATTGAACTGGAATACAAAAAGGGAGGTGTGAAGAGGTCCGGGAAATAAGCTAACGAAAGAAAGTGATGGAAAGATGGAATTGTCTTTTTTTATTTATTTTTACTTTGTATTTTTCTTTTTTCTTGTTTATTTTGTAAAATTCTAATAAATATCTTTTTTTTTTAAAAAAAAAGACAAACCCATTGCTATCACTGGGTACTAGCCGCAATGGCTATGCCACTGTTGGGAGACGTATATCTCCGATTCCCAGTTGCCGGGAATCACAAGTGTGGAAGGTTGCTGTTGTGCTCAGGTCCTGCTTGCGGACTTCCTGGAGGTGTCTAGTTGGCCACTGTTGAGAACAGGATGCTGGGCTACATGTTTTCTATTTTTACCCCACCCACCCTGATCCATAATTCAAGAGGTTAACATTGTCCTACCTTACAGGGTTGTTGTAAGACTTACTGAGCGAATGTAGACAGAGCATTTTTCATGCTCCAAATGCCAGCTTTTATTACCAAAGGAAGCTCAGAGATATTGCTACCTGCAGAGATTTATGGAAATCAAACTAATCTGCATATATTTGCTGAGTGTGCTATAATTTATTCTGCTCCTGTAAGCACAAGGCAGACCAAACGCCCATCTAGGACACTGAAGCCCTGTCCTTTGAGTGATGGAAATCCAGCATAGCTCCTTCCCTCTGACTTCTTTCATCAAGCATTGCGCCCCCTTCCTTCACGGCCTTCAGGTCTAGAAACTCGTTTTGCTATTTTAAAAGTTGTTCCTAGGATCCCTGCCCCTGGCTACTGAATTCTGCTTCCACCTGAGAAGCCTGCAAACCTGTGGGGCACAGACTGCTGCTTTCGTCTCTGTCCTTGTGACGCCAATCCCACCCACCCCACGAATCCCAGCTACTGTACCTACGCAGCTCTTCTTCCAGTTCCGTTTGGCGTCGGGTCGCCTGAGCGAGCTGAGCCTCCAGGCAGCTCAGCTGGGCTTCTTTGGCTTGCAGCTCCTGCGCCAACCGCTGACGGCCACGCTCCACTTGCTCACAGGCCTCGGCCAGACTCCGGTTCTCCTGAGAGAGAAGGGCCCACGAGGCCCGTTCCTCTTCGTGCTGCAAAGAACAGCGAGAGATGAGCCGCATTAAAACAAAACCAAAAAAACGCAGTGTGGTTTGTGTCCATGGAATCATAGAAGGGACCCAAGGGACATCTAGTCCAGCCCCCGCCAATGGAGGAATCACAGCTCCAATCCAGCCCTGCTCAGAGGAGACCTGTCGAAATGAATGAAAATGCGTCACCCAATTTCACTCTGTTGGATGCAAACCAATGTTGGTTATACATCAGGGATGTCGCCCTCCAGGGCTCTCTATCTGGCCCTCAGGAATCTTTCTGGGCCACATACTCATCCTTTGCACACACACAGAGCTCGTTTTTGCCTGCCTGGAATGTGCCCTTGAACTCTGATCGTGCCTCTTGCTTCTCTGGAGGGAGCACAGAAAGGTGCGTAGGGTTGTATGTAATATTTGCATTCCTTGCTCCACCCACTTTTGTCTAGGGCCCCACCCACAATTAGCATGCGGCCCTCAGAAGGTTGGCTAGAAGGGAATGTGGACCGAAAAAGGTTCCCCACTCCTGCTGCACATCCTGCAGCTATACTGTACTGTAGTGATATTCCTTGCTCCAAAATGTGATTCAGTTGGGTGCATTCTGAACACCCCTCACTAAAAAAAATGAAGTTTCATGACCCATATAAAGATACTGCATTGTTTCCCCTGGTTTATTGCACTTCCAGTGCTTCTTCCCAGCTTGCAGTCTGGTTTTTTATTTGCCAAGAAAGCACACAGATTATAGACATATTCCTGAGTTTTTCTCTAGAGCTAGAAGCTTGCTTTTTGATAAATTTCAAAAACTTAAAAGATTCATACCCTTCTTTCGCTGACTGCAAATCTCCAGTCAGCCATGGACCTGCGATTGGCCTGGGCTTAATCCTCTACCCCTCAGCTATGGGGCAATAACCACACTGGCCTACCTTGCAAGGTCTGTGCAAAGACTCTGAGATAGTACATGCACCATAAATTGAACGTATGGGAACAGCAATACATAAGCGCTATGCAGAATAAGAGTCAAGACGGCATATTGGTTAATGCAGCTGTCGGCAACTGGTGCCCTCCACAGGTTGTTGGAGTACAGCTCCCATCAGTTCTGGCTGGGGCTGATGAGAGTTGTAGTCCAACAACCTCTGGAAGGCACCAAGTTGGCAAAGGCTGGGTTAATGGTATAAATTTCGCATTTGGTTCAAATATCAGCTCACTCATAGCTCACAGGAGATTAGAAGCAAATTATTTCTTAGGCTCAGCACCCCAGCAGTGTTGAAGGTGGCTTGCTCAGTTGCTGGCTATTGATAGGTAACCTCGCAAGAGCTCTTTGTTCTTAGGGCTCTTCATCTTTAAACGGAACAGAGGACCATCCTCTTTAAAGTAGGACACATGGCCACCCTGGGCTAGGAACTCCATGCAGCGTGTCTGCAGTGAACGGGGAGGGGAATAATGATGTTCTACCTTACAGGGTTGTTGTAAGGATAGCTCTGAAGCACACCCAAAAAGCACTGTATAAGTTCCATGACCCAGGTGCTCAAACAAATAAACTGCGTATACATTTGAAAGTTTTCAGGGATGGGGAATTTTTATTTTTTCAGATCGAGGGCCACAAAAACCCTTACACACCTTACACACACACACACGTTCCTCTATCTCCCAGCCACACAAGCGAAGAGGCATTGTCAGACTTCAAGGTCACATGCCAGCCAGGAGAGAAAAAAGGAGGACCAATGAGGAGGTGGAGCTGAGTATATCATACAGCCTGATTCCTGAAAGCCAGAGGAAGATGCCTGAGGGCCACATTTGGCCCGCAGGTCTAAGGTTCCCCACCTCTGGATTAATGCAAAGTGTTGGTGCTGACCTTTCAAGCCCTAAATGGCCTCGGTCCTGTATACCTGAAGGAACATCTCCACCCCCATTGTTCAGCCCAGACACTGAGGCCCAGCTCTAAGGGCCTTCTGGAGGTTCCCTCACTGCAAGAAGGGAAGTTACAGGAAACCAGGCAGAGGGCCTTCTCAGTAGTGGCACCTCCCTTGTGGAAGACCCTCCCATCAGGTGTCAAGGAAATAAACAACTACACGACTTTCTGAAGACATTTGAAGGCAGCCCTGTACAGTGGTACCTTGGTTTATGAACTTAATTTGTTCCGGAAGTCCGTTCTTAAACCAAAGCATTCTTTAAACCAAGGCGTTCTTTCCCATAGCAGCGGGGGACTCAATTTACAAATGGAACACACTCAACAGGAAGCGGAACATGTTCTGCTTCCAAGGCAAAATTCACAAACCAAAACACCTACTCCTGGGTTTGCAGCATTCTTAATCCAAGTTGTTCATAAACTAAGCTGTTCTTAAACCAAGGTACCACTGTATTTGGAAGTTTTTAATGTTTGATGTTTTGTTGTGTTCTTTTATACTCTGTTGGAAGCCACCCAGGGTGGCTCGGCCAATCCAGTCAGACAGGCGGGGTACAAGTAATAAATTTGGAGAGTATAAATACCCTCCAAAATTTTCTGGTGAAAATTGGGATGTCCTGTTCCATAATAATAATAATTTTACCTCACTCATCTGAATGGGTTGCCTCAGCCCCTCTGGGGGGCAGCTTCCAACATATATAAAAACATAATAAAACATTGAACGTTAAAAAACTTCCCTATACTTCAGCCTTCAGATGTCTTTTAAAGGTTGTATAGTTACTTATCTCCTTGGCTCGGTGGCCGAATAACTGCACACCGTCCAACATTTCTCCATCCTAAGGGAAAGCGGGACATTCTGGGTTCAAATCAGAAACCGGGATGGCTTCTGTAAATCCGGGATTGTCCCTGGAGAATAGGGACACTTGGAGGGTCTGCATTATTGTTATCATAACAGATGGAGGCCCAAACCGGAACCACAGAAACCCCTTGCATGGCGGAGGTGCCCAGAGGATGGGAGACTCCTGCCAGGTACGAGCTCCCTGCCCCACGGCCCCTGCAATTACCTTCTGCCTCTGTTTGTGCATCATGGCTTCCAGGGTGTCCAGCTGCACCTGTTTCTGCTGCCGCTCCTTCTGCAGGCGCTCCAGCCGCTGCTCCACCTCGGCGATGGCCCGCAAGGCCCTGGACGGCAGCCCCACCTTCCATTCCTCGCCTGGCCAGCTCATGGTACTCTCTAGAGGTGCTCCTGTCCGGGCCTGGCTCATGAAAGGCTTCCGTTTCTGCCCCCAACCAGGTCTCTTTCTCTGGCCTCCCAAGGACAGATTGGTGGGATTAAAAAGCCAGCCAGGGCTTACAGCGGCGTCATGCAGAGGAGCTGCCAGGATACTTTCCTGTGCAGCCGGCCGGGCCGGAGCAGGTCAGCCTACGCCCAAGGCTGGAGGGCATGGCAAAGACCCCCCAGTTTCAAAAAGCAGCAGCCAAATCTCAGGGCTTCCACTAAACTCTAATCGCCACCTACTCTGGGGAAAGGAGTTTAAACTGGTCTCAGGGTGGGGGAATTAAGAGCACAGAGTCGGGCGATTTTAATTTTCCCGCTGGGCCAGACCTCCGCCTTCCCCGCCATTCTAAAAATCTAATCCTCCTGATTTTTCCAGCTTGCCCTGCTTAACATTCTCATGCAATCTCATGCAATTTTCTCCTCCCTTCTAGGAGCGTGCAAAAATGAGGAAGATCAAGATGGGCATCAAATGTTCTTTTAAAAAAACACACAGAGAGAGAGGGGACTCAGCAGAGGGGCATTAAACCTCCACTGACAAAAAATAAAAAAGAGGCCCTCAACTGTCTCTTGTGTGAAGAATTAGGGCTACTAAACTCCGCCTCCTGCTTCAACAGGCTTCACCCATGAGCTCCTAAGCCCCGCCTCCTGCACATTAGGGGTGGAGTTTCAAGCCCTACAGAGGCCTTCAATCAGAAGCAGAGTTTAAGCGGCCCAGACATTGATGCTTTTGAATTATGGTGCTGGAGGAGACTCTTGAGAGTCCCATGGACAGCAAGATCAAACCTCTCCATTCTGAAGGAAGTCAGCCCTGAGTGCTCACTGGAAGGACAGATCCTGAAGCTGAGACTCCAGTACTTTGGCCATCTCATGAGAAGAGAAGACTCCCTAGAAAAGACCCTGATGTTGGAAAAGATGGAGGGCACAAGGAGAAGGGGACGACAGAGGACGAGGTGGTTGGACTGTGTTCTCGAAGCTACCAGCATGAGTTTGACCAAACTGCGGGAGGCAGCGGAAGACAGGAGTGCCTGGCGTGCTCTGGTCCAGGGGGTCACGAAGAGTTGGACACGACTAAACGACTAAACAACAGCAACACATCACTTTACAGTGGCTTTCCCTCTGTTTGATTCAGGTGTGGATTGCAGTGGAAGTTGCTTCATTCGAGTGAACTCCTTCCTAACTTTTTACAACCAGTCTTCAGGGTGGCCTTGTTTGCCAGCTTCCTCCTTAGTCTCAGTGTTGCCCCTTGTGGAACTCAGCAGGGAGAACGAGGACAAAACTAGCATACTGTAGTTGGTTCTGCTTGTCATTGGCTCTGGCTCCACCTAGTGGTGGGCTCCCTGCCTTCCGCCCTACCAGCCACCATTGGCAAACTGTGCCTCCTGGATGCCATTACGGTGTGTGTTGAGTGAGGGGTGTTTTCGAAAAGCAGTGAACAGGGGTTGTAGCTCCACTCTCTCTACTTAAGTCCAAGCGGGAAGAGGAAAAAGCAGCCAGTGACCTGCGGGCCGAGGACTGTTCCTGGCAGTTTTTGCTTTCATTGGAAGCACAGGCTGTTTCACCAAAGATTTAAAACGAGGAGACCTCCCCTACTGGCACACAAGGCTATTTTCCCAAAGCCACACCCACCCGCCACACTCCTGAAGTCGTGCAGTGTCAGGTGTTGGGCAGGTAGAGGTGCAGCTGCAGAAAGTAGGTCTGAAAGCGCCCCATGTATCAGCTGGTGGGGGGGGAGTTCAATCCTGCTCAGTTCAGGTGCCCCATTGAGTTGCCTAGGCAGGCATGCCTGAACCCTGCATGAAGCTGGAGTGAACCCCCATGTATCAGCTCACACATGCAGAGTCCAATTATGCTCAGGTGCGCCAGCCAGTGTTGCCCTCACTCCACAACCACTTTAAAGGTTTCCTTCCTCTCATCATGTTTGGGGGGGTGGGAAGATAAATCTTCCACTTATCCACAACAGGCAGCAGTAGTATCCACAAGGCAAAGCCAGAGCAGGCAACGGGCTGGGGCCCAGTGGATCCTGGAGGCAGGCAGACAGACAGGCCTCCAGGATCCATTTTATATATCACACCGTTTCCAAAGAAACCCATACTTTCCAATGGAAAGCCAGAGTTGGGGTTGAGGTTTGTGTGTGTGAGAATGTCTTTACAGATCCAACATTTACCAAAAAGAAATATTTTGTCACGTGTTTCAATCTGGTTTTAGCTTGTTGATTTTAATATGTCTTTGAATGTTTCAAATACTTGTCTTTTACCGATAATTATATTTATTCTTTCTGCAAACCACTCTGAGGTTTTGTTACAATCAAATAGTATATAAATGTTGTGAAATAAACGGATTCACCTGTTCCATGGTACTTACTTTGCTATGTTTTTATGCGTAAGAATGCTTGAAAAAAGTAATTTTGTTCAAATGAATGGGGGAAATGTAGCCCTCAAGACGGGGCTCCGATACCCATTAATCCCCAACCAGCATGGCCAGCAACATTTGGAAAGCCAGGGGCTCCCCCATTTCTGCCGCAGCACAACTACAAAAAACCACACGCAATGTCGCTAACACAAAGTGGACTTTATTGTTAAGTTGGGGGTGGGGGGCCAATGGAATAGCACCAAAACTGCAGCATGTCTAGCAAATAACAAAAGGCTACTCCAAAACACTGCCGCTACCAGCTCATGGGAAGAGGGGGGGAAGGAGGAACCCCCCCTGCCCTGTAGACACATTTGACCAGAATTCATTAAAACAATGACATCACAGATAAAACTGAGCCCGCCCCTCTCCTCAATCCGAGTCGATTAAAGTGCCAAGAGTTTTCCGTATACTATTGGTTAAGTACCCGGGGTGGGGGTGAGGGGGTGGTAGAGAGGGGGCTGGGGAAGGAGGGGGAGAGCTTAAGCATCAAGACCGAGATGCCAGCAACAAGAGCCAACCCAGCCCCCCCCCCAAATGGCTAAAAGAAATAAAGCTGGGTTTTCCTACGGTTTGGGGAATGGGGTGATAGTGCTTATAATACCGTGTGTGCACATCCCTGCTCCTTCATAGAAACCGGTCCTACATCAGTAGTGATTCCTGGGTCTTCACATCAGTGCCCCACAAACCCGCCCCAATCCCCTGCTCCCCTCAGTTCTGCGGGGTGGAATAGAGGCTGTGGTGGTGGCTGCCGGACACCGTGGCCTGCGAGAACAAAAGGGGGGCCGTGGGAGGGGGCCCCCCAAACCAGTCCTGCTCCCCGCTGCGGTTGATCGAGCCGTACCAGCTCCCGACGCTGCCCAGGCGTCCCGTCAGGCTGGAAGGAAGCGGGTGGGGTGGGAAAGAAGAGGCAATTTGGGTGGGGGAGGCATGTGAGTGTTAGGAAGCAAAAGGAAAGAAAGGAATTAGACCAGTGGTTTCTAACCCACCGCCCCCTTGTTTCCATACCACCCCCCTGCTCTATAAAAAACGTAATTCAGAACGGTAGTTTGTACGACCCACTCAGGAAGATATAAGATGATAAAATTGAAAACAGTCGCTATTAATGGCACATTTATTCAAAATCCAATTAAAACTACTTGAGTTTAATTATGGATGAACTTAATAATAATAATAATTTATACCCCGCCCATCTGGCTGGGCTTCCCCAGCCACTCTGGGCGGCTTCCAACAAAATATTAAAATACCATAATGCATCAAACATTAAAAGCTTCCCTAAAGAGGGCTGCCTTCAGATGTCTTCTAAAAGTCTGGTAGTTGTTTTTCTCTTTGACATCTGGTGGGAGGGCGTTCCACAGGGCGGGCGCCACTACCACGAAGGCCTTCTGCCTGGTTCCCTGTAACTTGGCTTCTCGCTGTGAGGGAGAATGATCCAGTGATACCAGCTTTTCAGAGTCTGAAATCATTTACCCCTCATCCCCCCCAGCCTAGGGAACCCCTGAATTAGGTAAGAGATGGGGCTCAGTGGTACTGAAGCACTCGGGAACATAGACAACTTTTCTATTCCACCAGGCCTAGGCAGACAACTTACGAATATATCCTTCCACAATGGTTCATTGCCGTTTAACCTTTCTGTATGTTTTTATTGTATGGCTTTTAAGTTTTATTGCTGTAAGCTGCTTTGCTATATATACATTTTATGACACAGCAGCATAGTAATGCTTTTGTAAGTAAAACGACTGTTGGTACGCTGTGCCAACTTCATCGATGGAGCTTTTAAAACTTCCAGGCATGGAAACGATTTCCGTTCCACCTCCGAGGCGGGGGGGTGGGGGTGGGGAGCCAATGCAAGGACAGCAGTGGGGCTGTCAGTCAGGGACCACACACCCACCCCGGTCTAGTTCTAGTGGGTCAGGGATGGGAATCTGGGGCCACAGGAGGACTCCGACCTGGGGCAAGGTCCCAGGGGTTTGGGAGGTGGAGATCCAGGGGAAGGGCCAACAGGAAAGCGGTTCCCCCTCTGCCACCCCCAGGACGTAAGACACCCCAAGTGCACCGGCCATTGAGCTGACTCCTCCTGGGTCAGAGACTAGCTGGATGAGGAAGACGGGGGGCATTCACAGCCCAAGAGCTCCCTCCAGGGAGGACGTGGAAGAAGACAGACTCCAGATCGTGGTGGTGGGACACCAGGGAGCAGTCTGGGGAAGGGACGAACTGGGAGGTGCCTGAAGCAGGGGGCTTGAGGGGGTCAGGAGAAGAAGGGCCTTCCAGGACAGGGTTGGGGTCAGGAGAAGAAGGGCCTTCCAGGACAGTGTGAGCGCAGACTCAGACAGAGAGGAGCTGGAAGTTGCCCCTGCTATCCAGCAGCAGGGCAGTCCCAGTCCTGCTGGCTCTCCTCCCCAGCTAACACCCGGATTGAAGAGCATCCTTCACATTGCTGAGCAATGAGCCAGAAGAGGAGCCCACCCCTCAAAGCAGCCTTTGTCTGCTTCGGACGGATCCAGAGTGAGAGGCTAGAGGGGAAGGGCGGGTCCAGCGGTCAGTTTCAGCTGGATTAAGACACAGCCAGCTGTGTTGTTACGTTTCTGAGCACAATTCAAAGTGTTGGTGTTGACCTTTAAAGCCCTAAATGGCCTCGGCCCAGTATACCTGAAGGAGCGTCTCCACCCCCATCATTCTGCCCGGACACTGAGGTCCAGCGCTGAGGGCCTTCTGGCAGTTCCCTCACTGTGAGAAGCCAAGTTACAGGGAACCAGGCAGAGGGCCTTCTCGGTAGTGGCACCTGCCCTGTGGAACGCCCTCCCACCAGATGTCAAAGAGAAAAATAACTACCTGACATTTAGAAGACATCTGAAGTTCAGGGAAGTTTTTAATGTGTGACATTTTAATGTATTTTTAACGTTTGTTGGAAGCCGCCCAGTGTGGCTGGGGAAGCCCAGTCAGATTATTATTAATTATTATTATTATGTGAATAAAAGCTAATGGCATTTCTTGTCTCGTATTCTTTCCTGCCCTGTGGATGACCTGGGCTCGCCTGACGGCTCCTTGACATCGTGTGAGTGAACAGTCTCCATGGGAGAGCATCTGCTTGGCATGCAGAAGGTCCCAGTTAGGTCTGGGAATGTCCCCTCTGGGAAACCCCGGAGAGCTGCTGCCAGCCAGTGCAGACAATACTAACCATTGGCTTGACTCCGTATAAAGGCAGCTCCCTATACTCCTGAATCAGGAGGCTGGGACAAGTGCGGCCTCGGGGAAGAAGAGAAATTACCTGCTCGTCAGTCCTTCACTTTCGCGCTGCCCGGGATGGTCAAAGAAGTAGGATCGGGAGACCCCCAGCTGCCGGTTGAAGACACGGCTGGCGCTCTGTGGGGAGGAAGGCACCATTA